GCTCCGGGAGCCTTTGGTGGCGCTTCAGGACTCTTGCACTCCCTCAGGAGCATCCAGGGCTGGATGGTGGATTTAGGGAGCCTCCCTCTTCCCACCCCGGGGCGGCAGCAACAAAAGTGGCCCCTCCAACTTTTGACTCGACTGGTCAAGGGCAGGCACGTGACACTAGCTGTCCAATCAGGGCCCAACAGGTGTGTGTCAGGCACTGGGCAGGAAGTGCAGGCCACGTGCAGGAGGACAGCCCAGGAACCTGGACAGGAGCAGGCGGGTTCCTGGGCCCCCCGAGCTGACCACAGGGCGCCTGGTCCCTGGGACACACGCCCTGCCCCAGGGAGCTTACATTCTGGGGGGAACACAGGCAAAGAGCAGACAGCCTCCCCCGTAGCGAGCCTGGAAAGGTGGCAGGGTCCCGGGGCAGAGCCAGTGAGAGTGTGGCTGCAGGAAGGTGGCCAAGAGCCGGGATGTGACGGAAGGACGCAGGCTGGACCCCCCAACCCACCCTCACGGGAGCCCGGCCCTCCTTCCCTCTCAGGACCCTGAAGAACCGTCCCTGCCCCCCCACCTTGTGCCCTGTGTCCCCTCCCTCCCACTCCCTCCAGGACCCCTCCCACCAGCCCCCCTCTCTCCCTCCTGTCTCCCACCCTGTCCGCTGGGCCATCTCCATCCCTTCACCTCGTCCACCCCCCCTTCACCAAAAACGCCTGACCTGCGCTCCATTCCCTTTCCTCCTCCCACTCTCCTCTCCATCCCCAAGAGCTCTCCCCAAGGTCACTGTTGCGAAATGACTTAGAGAAACCTAACTAAACTCGCGGGGTGGGGGGGGGGGCCTGCAGGGGGCGCTCTCGCCCCATCACACACCGTCAATCACTCCAAACAGGAAGTACAACTACTTTACTACTGAGGGAAGACTTCTCTCCCCACTTAGCAACAGCTCAGCCAATCAGAAACACCACAGCTCAGCCAATCAAACGCCACAGCTCAGCCAGTCAGAAATGCTGCAGCTCAGCCAATCAGGAACGCTGCAGCTCAGCCAATGAGAAGCTGTTGCCACTGTGATCTGTTTCTGCCAATGGGCTTTCGTTTAGAGCAGCCCCTGCCTCTCCCCCTTTTTCTCTATAAAAGTAGCTCCCTCTTTTTTTTGGATTTGCCTGTGGTTTGCATTTGCGCATCCCGAGTTGCAATTATTTTGGCTATTGCCGTTTGAGGGTAAAATTACAGGTGAATTTGCCTTGTAAGTTGACACTGTCCTGGATGGTAGGAGTCTCCCCCAGGGGGAGGGGAGGGAAGGAGGGTGCCAGGCTGGAGTTGGGGGACTCCCAGAGGGTCTGTGGCAGCCACTGAGGCCCCCACCCTCTGACGTGGACCGCAGAGAGAGTGGGAGCATGCTGGGTGGGAGCAAGACACTGTGGAGTGACCCCACGTGAAGCCCCCATGAGCTGGAGGGAGCTGGAGGGTCCCCTCTATGGCAAGCTACGTCCAGCCCTGTCCTGACATGCAGGGGTCCTGGCCCACCTGTCCAGTGGAGCTCCTGTGTAGGCAGGGAGGGTGGGCGCCCCATAAGAAGGGCCAAGCACAGAGCACCTGATGTCCCCTGATGGGGCCAGTGATGTACCTGAGCTGGGGCCTGGGACACAGTACCTCACCTCCGGGCGAGGCCGGCGGGCTGCCAGGACAGTGCTCCTCTAGCATGAGCAGCCCCTCCAGGCCTCCTGACCAAGACTGCCAATTAAAGGTCAGTTTCTAAAGATTTTTAAAGCTGTTTTTCTTTCTTCTTAGGTATTAGAAATTACCTACTAGAATTAAAAGGCAAAATACAAATTATAATTAATAAATATTTGTACGTAAAATTAATTCACCTAGAGCTCAGTTATCTCACCTAGTTTTTGAAAATTTAATGAGCTCATTAAACATTTCTGTGAAAATAAAATGCATCACAGGTGTAGCCCTCTGTGTCCCCAGCCCCAGTGTAAGGAGCTAACTGGCCGCACGGGGAACCCGCTGGTGCAGCCCTGCTGTCAGAGACTCGGGGTGGTGGGGGTGTAGGCCTGGGCTGCTGTCCAGCCTCAGCCCTGCGGTCACTCAGGAGGGTCTCTGGCGCCACCCCTCGGATGCTCAGCCCTTCTAGAATGATCCTTCCTTCCCCAGAAGCCCTGAGAGGGGGGCATCTGACAAACCTTGCCCACAACCCCAGAGCAGAGACCCTCCTTTTTTGATTGGGGGACACAGGGCCAGGCATGCAGGGGGTTCTCGGGGGCATTGCCAGCTCTGAGTCACAGCCCACGTGCTCCAGGTGCCCAGTGCTCTCCAGCTCCGTTCTGTGGGTCTCTGGGATGTGGGGCCTGTGGGGGGCTACAATTTCCTTTGCCCTTCTCCCTCATGGTCCTGGAGGCTGGGCCCACGCCTTCCCATCTTCCTACCAGCCCTATCTATCTGTCCTCCTGGGAGTCCAGCACTGAAGGACATTGGGTGGGCACAGCCCAGTCTGCAGGGTCGGGCGTGGTCCCCACCCACTGGGGACATGGAGCCCCTCCAGGGCTGCTGCTGGCTTCTCCCAGCAACCATGCACCTCAGTCCTCCAGGTCTGGACTGGGCCAGTGGGCGAGCTGGGCATGCAAAGGTGGGACCAGGGGCCCCCGGTGCCTATCTCCAGGGACCAGGCAGTGGTCCCTCCTGCTCTGTGGCCCCCAGCTCACCTGGGGTGGCCTGGTCCTCCCTGCAGCCCAGGGAAGGAGGCTGCTGGAGGGAAGGAAATGGGGGCTGGGGGGTCCAGTTCCCAGGCGCTCCCTCAGCCTCAAGGTGGCAGTCCAAGGGCAGGAACCCGCCTGCCCATGTGCCCAGGGCCTGGCACGCAGTGGGCACTTCAGAAACGCTCATCAGATGGATGCCAAGGGTCTCAAGACAGGGTGGCTTGGTGCTGGTCCAGGCCCCGTTCCCTGACCCTCCAGCCCCAGCCTGGGGGCTGCCACTGGCCCTCAGACCTTCCCCAAGTTCTCCTGAAGGGAGGCCGCCCTTCTCCTGGTTCCTGAGGGGGCAGTGGGAGCGGGAGGGGGCGTGCGCAGAACGCTCCGGGCTGGGCAGGATGTGCCAGGCACGCTGGGCCCTGGGTGGACAGCGCTGACTGAGCCATGGGGGCCTGGCTCAGCGTGGCCCGGGGAGGCTGTCGGGGGAGCTGGGAGAGAGCTGGGGGCCCCCAGACCCCTCAGGGCCCAGCATGGGCATGTGTGGGGCACAGCACCCTCCCCAGTCAGCAGAGCTCTTGGAATCCCTGTGCCCTCTAGCAAACAGAGAAGGCCCTCTCCTGTTTGACCAGATGGGGCGGGAGGTGGGGGGCGAGGGGGAGAAAGGTCTGGACCAGAGCGTTCTCACCAGCAGGGGCCAGAGCTCAGCCCAGACCCTGCCCCACGAGAACCCCTCGGACTCTGGCCCCAGCCCTTGCACGCAGTCCCTCCCCCGCAGCTGTCCCCAGGCCGGGGAGCCCCTGGCAGACCCTGAACTGGGGGAGGGGAGGCAGCTGGATCCCAGAGAGGCTCTGGCATCGTCTGTGTGTGTTAAGGGCCCTTCCGTGTCCCGCGGCGTCTCTGTTTCTTCCGGAGAGGGCTTTCTGCAAATGTGGTTCTTCTTCCAGCGTTTTCTCCAGTCGGGGGACCCTTGGTGAGGGACAGGCAGGTTGGCTGGGACCTCGGTGTGTGGAAGGGACACACAGTCTGCCCTGGGGGGCAGCGGGGAGCCCCAAGGAGGTGGCCCTTCCCCCGTGCTCACACCTTCTCCTGACAGTCTGGTGTCATTTGGAGGGGCCCCTCCAGGCAGCCACTAGGGGATGAGAACACCGACACCCCGTCTTCAGCCCCTCCTTCTCTCCCCTGCGTCCCCTCCCCTGGGCCTCGGAGCCCCCACATTCCGGAAACGTTTTCTCTACAGATCGGAGCACACCTTCCCCTGCAGCTGGTGACCCTGGCCAGACCCCGGGTGTGGGCTCCGGGGGGACACCCCGTCTGCATCAGGGGTCCCTCCCCTATGCGCCCAGAGCCCCCGTGCTCAGCCCAGTCCTGCCACGTGAAAGAGGCTGGCCTGCTTCCCCCAGCTTGGGGCACAGACCCGCCCCCACCTCTCTGTCCCAACTACTCTGGCAAGCCCCCTGCCACCTGCCCACATGATCTTCCCATGGGGGCACCCGGCTGCCCCATGCCAGAAGTGGACTCAGCCCCAGGCGGTCAGTTCTGCTCCAGGCCAGTCCTGTGCTCCATTTGGCCCTGCCAGCCCCCGGGGCGGCCGTGAGGAACAGCCCAGCCTCCTGTCCACCTAAGACGGACTCCAGCTCACCCCAGACCCCCCAGGTACCACGTCCAGGAACTGCGAGGGGTCTCCTGCCAGCCCCCCCAAAACTGCCCGCCCCACCTCAGTGGCCCATCCTGCCTCAGGCCACAGGGCCCCTGCCTCCCAGGAGGGAGCTAAGGGGGCAGCAGGAGGCCAGGAGGACCAGGGGAGGCTCCACATCCCCCAGGAAAAGCCGCCCCACCCCGTCTGTGCGGGCTGCGGGCTCAGGTCCTGGGCCCACCCAGGCAGCCCAGGGAGGCCAGCAGGGCTGCGTGCTCGGTCAGGGAGCGGGGAAGGGCAGCAGGGACCACAGCGCAGGGGCCCAACTGAAGAAGAGACACCGAGGCCCAGGGAAAGCGGGGCGCCGGGCCTTCTAGGCCTTGGGGAGAGCCCTTTCCACCTGCCCCCCTGGGGAGGGTTCTTGACCTTCCACCCTTCGGCTTTTCCGGGCGAGCAGCCCCACGTGCCCATGAAATGACTGGCAGGCAGAGACCCCGGCGGTTCCAGCGTGGAAAGGAAGGAGTCAGGGCCCGAGACCGACGGCATTTAATGAAGGCGGCGCCCCCGCGCTCCTGGGGGTGAGGGGCAGCTTCGGGGCAGATGGGAGAGAGGGTGTGGGGTGCGGGGGCTCAGTGAGGGACAGCAGCCCCACCGCCAGGGCTTCCTCTCCTTCTCCGCGGGGCCATGGCCTCACCTGCTCACTTCTGCGGCACAGAGACAAGACTAGAGGCGGTGAGGAGCCGCGGGGCGCCCACCCTCCCGGCACCGCCGGAGGGTGCTGCCCACTCACCGTCCAGGACGTGGAACTGGTCTGCGGCCTCGCAGAAACCTGGGGGTCCAGGCGGGGGTCAGGGGTGGCACGGGCGGGGCGCACACAGGGAGGGTAGGGCCAGTGGCGGAGGGACACAGGGTGCTCACCGTACTTGGGGAAGAACAAGATGTGGTCCTCCGTCAGGTTGGCCCCCTGGACCCGCTGTCCAAACGCACTCAGGGCCGAGTCGCTCACGGGGAGGGAGCGGGCTGTGGGAAACAGGGCTGGGCGGGGTGGGCAGGGTGCTCTGGGGACAGGGTCTGCGGGCCTGGGACACGCCTGGCCGCTGTCTGACCCCTGCCCCTCTCTGCTGTCTCCCCATCTGCTCCCCACCCCGTCCCTGTCCCTCTCTGTCCCACACCACCGCCTGTCTGCAGGGGCTTCTCCCTGGGCCCCTGCTCAGCAGGAGAGGGTCAGGACGCTGGGAGGGAGGGAGGGAAGGGAGGTCTGTGTGTCCACCTCGGCTTGCACAGCCCCACCGGGACGGCCCCAAGTGTGTGCCAAGCCCGAGCTCCCACGTGGACGCACCGTACAGCTTCACCGACAGCCGCCGCGCCCGCTCCAGGTACAGGACGGCGAAACCCCGGTAGTCCGTCTCCCCGACGACCACGTCCACCACCCTGCGGGCACCTCGGGCTGGGCAGAGCCGGGTCAGCTGCCTCAGCGCCCCCCCCAGCCTTGCACCCCCACACCAGCTGCCCTTGCCTCACCTTGGAGCAGGAAGCGGCCCGGGACCCCCGTGTCTCGGAAGAGCTGCCGCACCTGCCAGCAGACCCCATCCCTGGGGGGTGGGGGTGGGAGGAGGCACAACAGGCTCGGGGACTCCAACCCAGGTGGGCCACGTGGGACAGTGGTCCCAGCCACAGCAGGGGTGGGGCCAGGGGCTGGGGTGGAGTGATGGGCTGAGGTGGGAGTCACTGGGGCTGGGTGGGGCCGGGGGTCTGTGCTGGGACTCACAGCTTTTGGAAGGTGCCGACGGCCATGGCTGCACCCTGGGGAGCCACCTGCAATGTGGTCGCCTCAGCCCGGTGGCCTTGCTCCTGCAGGAAGCGGCACGAGGAGGCCACGGCCACGAGAAGCCACGTCCCTGCAAACTGGGGGCAGGCCACGTGAGGACACGAGGGGATGGGGGCTGCTGGGGCAAGGTCCTGCCCTCCCACCTCCCCCAGCTCTACCTGCTGAGCGTCGAAGTTGGCCTTAGGCTGAATGGTGCTGATGGGGGACGGGGGCCGAGGGGGTCTGCGAGCCCTCTGGCCCAGGGAGGCTGCAGCCAAGAGCAGAGTCAAAAGGAGTGCAGTCCTGGGGGGCAGCATGACGGCAGCACTGACAGTGACGGGACTAGGGGAGGCTGAGGGCAGGACGGCCAACTCCGGGGTCAGAGTCCACTGTCCATCGCGGCCCAGGAGCCAGGCCCAGGAAGTCCATGTCAGTCCTCCTGCCTCCCAAACCTCCACCCTGGGCCAGGGGCCCCACCCCCATCCCGCCCCAGGCTCCTCATGAGCTCGGCCTCGTCCTGGACATCTGACCTCAACCCTGAACTTCCCGGCAGGGCCCTGGAGCCATGTCCTGGGTACAAAGTCCCAGTTGACCTCTGGCTCCTTGTCCACAAGCCCACACCTGATTTCCCTTGCGGTCGGTGCTCAGACCTTTGCACATTTAACTCCCTTAAACCGCCAACAGCTCCTTGAGGCAAGAACTGGTCTTATCCCCACAGCGAAAAACATGGAGCCTCTGAAGCCACTTGCTCAGGGCCGGACAGCGCAGAGTGCCGGCGCCGGATCGCGAACCCGGCGAACGCCAGCCTCGCCCACAGCCCCGCCCACGGGCCCGGCGCACGGCCGCCGCCCCAACTGGCCGCCAGGGGCGCTGTTCCGGGCGAGGCCAAGCGCGCGCGGGAGCACAAAAAAGCGCCGCCAGGCCGCGGGGCCCGAAGCGCAGGCGCAGGAACAGCCGGCGCGGGCTGCCGGGCGTTCGGCGTTCCGCGGCCATCTATGCCTCGGGGCTCGTGTCGTCGGCCTGGCGGGTCCATCATAGAGACGCGGCGGCCGGAGCGGCGGGGGCGGAGGGGGGTCCGCGAGCCGAGGCCGGGCCGGGGCCGCGCAGCCGGGCAGAGACGGCCGCGGTGAGTGCGCCCGGCCCCGGGGAGCGTCGTCACGCCGCCCCGGCCCCACGGCCCCGGCCCGGCTGCCGGACCTCCGGCCCCGGCGGAGCGTCGTCACGGCCATGTCCGGTCCCCATCTCCGGACCCCCAGCCCCCGATCCCCGGCCCGGTCTCTGGGTCCCCGGCCCCTGTTCGGAGCCCTGGCCCCCGGCCTCCGGCCCCCGCCGACCCCCGGCCAATGAATGAGTGGCCGAGGCTGTCCACGCCGGGCCCCAGGGGCCGAGCGCAGGCCCCGCCCCCGGCAGCCCCTCGTCGGGAAGGAGGGAGGGGGCGCTGGGCGGCCCCGCCCCCGCCCCGCCCCGCCCTCAGCTCTCCGGGCAGTGGCCGCGCTGGCGGGCCGCCCACCCGGCAGGGCTCCGTTAGGCCACAGGGCGGAGGCTGAGGGCCAGCTGGTGCCCCAGGCGGCGTCTGGGCCTGGCGGGCTGGCCCTCGTCCCGCCAGCCCCAAGCCTCTTCTCGAAAGGAGCTCTGTCCCATGCCGACAGCTCTGAAGCCTTGGGGCGGCAAGGTCAGAGTGACAGGAGCGCGCGGGGGTCACCGGCCCTTCGTTTCTTGGCCTCTGAGCGGTCACCAGCCCTGGCACCCAGATGTCTCCCTGGGCCCGCGGTGGGGAGGTCAGAGGACCCCACCCGGAAAACCTGTCCCCCAAGTCCAGGACCCTTTTGGGGTGAGGGTGGGTCTGGGGTCCCCAGGGGCTGCCTCCCTCTCCCCCACGCTCTACTTCAGGCTGGACCAGGACCCAGGGTGCTGAGAAGTGTGTGCTGCCTACCCGGAAGCTGCCTGTTCCAGGGACTCAGTGGGACTTGCAGAGGGGCCCCCAGGAGCATGGGGTCCCAGGAGCATGACTGTCCAGAGGGCCTTGGTGAAGCTGTTCGGTCCTTGGCCCAGCGGGCACTGCCAGCTGGCTCTCCGCACATGCTCAGTCCAATGGAATTCCCATCAGGGCAGTTGGTGGTGCTGGAGGAACAACCCCCAGCTGCCTCAGCTCAGCCCCAGACTCCGGCGCCTCTCATTGGGCCTGGGGACCCATGTCCCCCTTGGTCTGCCCGGCGGCTAAGGGAGCCTTGTATTGGTTTCAGGGCCGCCTGGGCAGAATGTCACGATGGAGGAGGGGGGCACGCCCCTGCTCCCTGATAGCCTCGTCTACCAGATCTTCCTGAGCTTGGACCCTGCTGACGTGCTGGCCGCTGGGCTGGTGTGCCGCCAGTGGCAGGCCGTGTCCCGGGACGAGTTCCTGTGGCGGGAGCAATTCTACCGCTACTATCAGGTGGCCCGCGATGTGCCCCGACACCCAGGTCAGCGCCTGCACGTGGCCCCTCAGCCCACCGGGCTGGCTGGCTGGTGGGAGGCAGGGCCGTCCCCACGGCTGCGGTCTTCTGAAACCACAGTGCCGGGCGCCTGCTGCCCAGGTCCTCACAGTGGTGAGGGACAGCCAGCCCATGTCTCAGAGCACAGGGCTTGGCAGGGAGGCCGAAGGTGGGCAGGGCCATGGGTTTGGCGGTGCAGGGTGGTGACCAGGGTGCTCCAGGGGCAGAGCTGGCTCCCACGCTGTCAGGGCCCTGGCCTCTGACTGTGGGAGGGAGGCTCGGGGCCCCAGCGGTGACCCTCCCACAGCGGCCACGTCCTGGTATGAGGAGTTCCGGCGGCTCTATGACACGGTGCCCTGCGTGGAGGTGCAGACACTCAGGGAACACACTGACCAGGTCCTGCACCTCAGCTTCTCCCACTCGGGTTACCAGTTTGCTTCCTGCTCCAAGGACTGCACCGTGAAGGTGAGGCCGGCCACGGCCCCAGCTGCCACAGTGGGAACGCCCTGGGGCCAGGCAGCCTATCAGGTGGGAAGGGAGGGCCAGGCCAGAGGGGAGGGATGGCCCAGGGTGACGCGTCTCCATGTGGAGGGCCCGGTCAGGGATGAGGAACCTCAGCTGAGACCTGGACTCCTGGCCTGGACCACACAGGACAAGAGGCTGGGGTGGGGCGCCCCTAACTGCCAAAACAGAGAGGGTCCTGCTCGAAGCCACTGCTCCAGAGCCAGGCCCCAGCCCCATGTACCCACCTCTCGGGTGGTCTGATGGCCAGGGGCAAGGAGCCCCCATCCAAATGGCGGTTTCTGGGCACTGGCTTGGCTTACGTGGCCGAGAGAGGGGCCGCGCTTGCACGGTGGGCCCGGGTGCCCCATGCAGGGTGGGCTCACATGAACCCACCAACTTGGCCCACACAGATCTGGAACAACGACCTGACCATCTCGCTGGTGCACAGCGCGGACATGCGGCCCTACAATTGGAGCTACACCCAATTCTCCCAGTTCAACCAGGATGACTCGCTGCTGCTGGCCTCGGGGGTGTTCCTGGGGCCCCACAACTCCTCGTCAGGAGAGATCGCCGTCATTAGCCTAGGTGAGAGCAGGCCTGGAGTGGGCTGGTCATCCCGGCCAAGACTGCTGCCTTCCCACTGCCCCGCCCCCTTCTGGCCAAGCCCGCCCGACTCACTGCCCCCTGCTCCCTGTCCTGGCCCTGGGCCCTCCCCACCCCGTCCGACCACCTGCCCAGCCCGACCCCTCCCTGCAGACACCTTCGCCCTGCTGTCCCGCGTGCGCAACAAGCCCTACGACGTGTTTGGCTGCTGGCTCACAGAGACCAGTCTGATCTCGGGGAACCTGCACCGCATCGGAGACATCACCTCCTGCTCGGTGCTCTGGCTCAACAACGCCTTCCAGGTGTGGGCGGGTGCAGGCAGGTGTGCCCCCTCCCCCACCTGGCGCCCTTTCCCCCGCCCGGCGCCCACAGTCTGTGCTCCTGCTTCCAGGATGTGGAGTCAGAGAATGTCAACGTGGTGAAGCGGCTTTTCAAGATCCAGAACCTCAACGCCAGCACCATCCGCACCGTGATGGTGGCCGACTGCAGCCGCTTCGACAGCCCTGACCTCCTGCTGGACGCCGGCGCCCCTGGCGCACCCCCCCGCCGCGTCTTTGACCTGGGCAATGGTGGCGAGGATGAGGTGGCCAGCGCGGCCCCAGCCCCGGCCCGCGGCAAGGAGGGCTTGCGGCACTTGCTGGACGGCCTCCTGGATGGGCGGGCGCAGCCCCAGCTGTCAGAGCGCATGCTGGAGACCAAGGTGGCTGAGCTGCTGGCCCAGGGCCGCACCAAGCCCCCCGAGCGCAGCACAGCTGACGCCCGGAGCAAGCTCCTCATCTTCACCACGGGTTGCCTCACTTACTCACCACACCAGATCGGTACTGGGCAGGGCCCTCCGCAGTTCCTAGACCTGGGGGTGAGGCTTCCTGGGGACGGGGGTGGGGTCCCATGGGCCAGGCAGCCAGTGAGTCCGTGGAAGCAGTCCAAAGACTGCTTCATTGTTGGTCATGGGGCCCAGCCCTGGTTGGCCACCCACAGCACACGTTCAGTGGGGGCCAAGGAGTGGCGGTGGGGGGCTCTCTGGTTCAGATTTGGGGCCCGCAGGGCAGGCAGCACCCACGGACGTCTGGGAGCTCCCAGGCACCGGGGTGCCGCCCCAAGGGCTCGGGGTTGCCCTCACCCAGCCCTTCTGCAGGCATCAAGCAGATCCTGCCACACCAGATGACCACGGCTGGGCCTGTGCTGGGCGAGGGCCGGGGTTCGGATGCCTTCTTCGATGCTCTGGACCACGTCATCGACGTGCACGGACACATCATCGGCATGGGCCTATCCCCTGACAACAGGTGGGCCGCCCACAGGGTCCTGGGTGGGGGTGTCTGCAAGTCGCCGGTACCGAGCAGCATGCCTTCGCCCAGGTACCTGTATGTCAACAGCCGCGCCTGGCCCAGCGGCTCGGTGGTGGCTGACCCCATGCAGCCACCGCCCATTGCAGAGGAGATCGACCTGCTGGTGTTCGATCTCAAGACCATGCAGGAGGTGAAGCGGGCCCTGCGCGCCCACCGTGCTTACACACCCAACGATGAGTGCTTCTTCATCTTCCTGGACGTCAGCAGGGACTTCGTGGCCAGGTAGGAGCTCAGGGCACGGTGTGGCCTGGGTGTGGCAGGCAGGGGCTCATTCAGACTGTCCCACAGTGGGGCCGAGGACCGGCATGGCTACATCTGGGACCGCCACTACAACATCTGCCTGGCCAAGCTGCGGCATCAAGATGTGGTCAACTCAGTGGTCTTCAGCCCCCAGGAGCAAGAGCTACTGCTGACAGCCAGCGATGACGCCACCATCAAAGCCTGGCGCTCACCACGCACCGTGCGTGTCCACCAGGCCCCACGCCCACGCCCGCGCCCTATCTTCTCTTGGTTTGCCAGCCAGAGGCGCTGAGGGGCAACAGAGTGTCCTGGGTGTCCTCAAACTGCTGGAACCCACAGAGGATGCCACAGAGGCCTGTTCGTGGCTCTTTCCCGCGGGCCAAGCTGCTGCCCAGACCATGTGGGGGCAGAGAAGCTCACAGTAGTCATGCCTTAGGTGGGAGGTCCAGGAGGGCTGCAGGGAGGGGATGGCCTGACCCCCACCACGCTTGCACACACACCTCCTCCCACAGCCATGATGCTCAGCACTGGGGCAGCCTCCTGGCTGGCTTGGGGTGCACAGGACACTGGTGGCCCTGCTCTTCACCCACCCTCTTCCCACGGACACGGGTCCTGCGACAGTCAGCATGACACATACCCCTCAGCTGGCCCTGTGGGGCCCTGGGCGGTGTTTCCCGGGTCTGACCTCGCTCTGGGAGCCCCAGGCTTCCTTCTCTGGGAACTTGTTTGTGCATCAGCAGGGTCAGTGGTACAGGTCAGTCGGCTGTGGGCCCGGGCGAACTGCATGTCACTGGTCACCCATTCAGGGCCTGAATAAACTTTAGTTGGCAAGAGCACACTGTCGTCTGGTCTCCGTAAGCAGGGAGGGCCCCAGGGTACCTACGTGGCCTCTCACCATGCCTGCCTGAGGGTGGTGGGATGCCGAGGCTGTGGCAGAGCACGGGAGCCACACTGAACTGGGCAGTGCGGCTCCAGTCTGCATCCCCAGTTGCCGCCCCTGCGACCTCCAAGGGGATGAGGCCACAAACACACAAGATGCTTCAGCACGTCCCTGCACTGTGCGCTCACCGCCAGCAGAGAGACACGAAGGGACCCACGGGGCAGGGCTATGAAGGACAAGGGACAGCCCGGCAGGCGGGCAGGGCATGGGGAGTAGGAGGAGCTGCGTCTAGCTCCTGGGGCCATGGGAACTGGTGGGCATCAGCAGCCTCAGCCATGTCCTTGACGGGGTGCCCTGACTGCTGGGGGGCGGGCAGGGGGCCGAGCTCTGTGGGGCTAAGCACGTGATGACGGGGACATAGAGCAGAACGGCAGTGGAAGGGTGGGGGGTGGCCCTGCCTCTCTCCTAAGGCTTGGCCCAGGCCCAGGCAAATCACACGCACGCTAGATGATGGCTGTGAAGCCGCCGCCCGGCAAGGATACGGAGACGACGTAAGAGCTCTGAGGGGCAGTTCTGGGTCCAGGTGAGATGGAGCAGGCACAGAGGCCCTGTGCCTCGCACAGTGCAGCTACAACATCTGGACAGAGGCCTGGAGCAGCTAAGAACTGAGGAGGGCACCACGGCAGGCGAATCAGGCAGCAGGGGCAGAACCACAAGTCCCACAGGACCAGCACTGTTTAGCACCACTCGCCCTCAGTACTCGGCCTGCACTCAGCACAGCCGGGAGCAACCTGCTAGGGGGACTGTGAGAGGGAACTCCTGATGCTCAGAGTGTGTGGAAATGCCCTGAGTCCTCTTCCCCCTGTTCTTTAGTGCCCCGGGCCATCCCCTGGTGGCAGTGGGAGTGGTGGCTCTGGAAACCCACGAAAGCCACTCTCTGAGGCAGGCGCCTTGCTGCTGTTCAGTGCAGCTGTGGTTCCAAGAGCTCCCATTACTGTGCTGTCTACTCTCCTGCTGAGTGGACCCAGATATGGCCTGACCAGGAAAGAGTACGACAGAGCGGGGGTAACAAGAGCCCCACGTTGCTGGCTGAAGGACCAGACAGAGTGCCAGCAACCAGACCCGAGGAAGCAGCTGGGGAAACAGCCCATGAAGTGGTTAAGACCCCAAGGCTCACCCTCAGGCTGCAGATGCATGGATTGACTCTTAATGATCAAACCCAACACTTGGAGAGCTTGCAGACCAACACCCGAGTCCCAGTCTGAGGACGGGATGGTGCACATGCAGGACCAGCCCAAAGAGCATGGCTTTGGTGCCTGGACTGACATGGGGTCCAGCCCACCGACGGCAGTGGGAACATGCACATGAACCTAACAAGACCAAGTGACTGCGAAACAAAGACATCACCATTCTCCACAGGACTTAAACAAGACCCAAATCTAATAAAGAAGTGTTCACAATGTCCAGAATACAATCCACAATTACTTGGCATATGAAGAGCCATGAAAACTTCAACTCACAGGGAAAAGACATTCAATGGATGCCAAGGATGAGAAGACACACATGTTGAAATTATCTGACAAAGACTCTCAAGTAGCTATTATAAAAATGCTTGAATAAGCAATCACAAACATTTTGCAATGGATGTAAAAATATAAATATAAAAGTCTCAACAAAGAAACAGAAGATATAGGATGAACCAAATGGAAATGTTATAACTGAAAAGCAAAATAACCAAAATTTTAAAACTCACAGGACAGACTCAATAGCAGAATAAAAATGAATCACTACACAGACTCAATAGCAGAATAAAAATGAATCACTACACAGACTCAATAGCAGAATAAAAATGAATCACTACACAGACTCAATAGCAGAATAGAGATGACAGAGGAGTCAGTGAACTTGACTGAAGATAGATCAATGGAAATTATCCAACCTCAACAACAGAAAGAGAAAAGACTGGGGTAAAAAGTGAGGGCCCCCAGGACCTGTGGGACAGTAAGTCAAAGTCTAACATTTGTATCACTAGAAGCCCAAAAACAGAGAAAGTGATTTGAAGAAATAACGGCTGAAAACTTCCCAAATATGGTGAAAGATATAAACCTACAGATTCAAGAAGTGAGCAAATCCAAAACAGGATCAACTCAAAGACGCCACACCCAGATACGTCTAATTAAACTGCTGAAAACTAAAAACAAAAAAGTCTTGAGAGCAGTGACGTGGATGACAGCAGACTTCTCATCAGAGACCAAGAGGCCACAGGAGGCGGCACACCATTTTTTAAGTTCTGGGGAAAAGGAAAGACTGTCAACCCAGAATTCTCTATCCATGAAAATATCCTTCACGAATAAAGGTGAAATAAAGTCTCAAATGAAAGAAGGCTCAGAGGATTTGCAGCCAGCAGAGCTTCCTTAACACAACTGCTAATGGAAGGTCTTCCAACGGGAGGGAAGAGATATCAGAAGGAACATCAGCGATGAGGGAACAGCAACAGAAATGGTAGACTCTTGATTTCTTTTTTTTTTTTTGTGAGGAAGATCAGCCCTGAGCTAACATCTATTGCTAATCCTCCTTTTTTTTCCCTTTTTCTCCCCAAAGCCCCAGTAGATAGTTGCATGTCATAGTTGCACATCCTTCTAGTTGCTGTATGTGGGACACAGCCTCAGCATGGCCGGACAAGCGGTGCGTCGGTGCTTGCCCGGGATCCGAACCCGGGCCGCCAGTAGTGGAGTGTGCGCACTTAACTGCTAAGCCACGGGACCGGCCCCTCTTGATTTCTTTAAAACATGTTTACAGTTGAAAGAAAGGGTTACAACACTGTCTGATGGAGCTGTTAGTCCACACAGATGTAACATGAGGGGCAAGAAAGGAGGCTGAAGGGGGGTAGGGTTTCTACACCCCAATCAAAGTGCAACACACTGATTCCAAGGAAACTGTTGTAGTTAAGTATGTTGTGATCCTTAGAACCCCCACCAAAAATACTATACAAAGAGAGTCAAAATCACAAGAGATAATGTCAACCTTAAAAATAAAACAGCCAGTTATCTTACCAGCAAAAAGAGTTTATTTGGAAATAGCCAAAGAATTGCAATTCTCTGCTGCAATGCTATGGCAGCCCACAGGCAAGTCCAGCCATCAAAGGAGAGGAACGTCATTTTAGAGAGAGAAAGGAGGAAGCTGGGAGGGGCTGTTGTGAAAAAAGTCCACTGGAGAAAAGCCGAGTTTAGGGTGGTGATGGTTTCTCGTTGGCCAAGTTGCTGGGGTTCTGGATTTCTGTCTGGGATACAGTGACATTTCTTCCTGTAGTTGACCATCTTCCCGTGACTGACCTCGGTGGGGCTGCACTGGGGCTCCCCCTTCTGGCCTCCTAACTCCATTTCACACAAGGTTTCCCTTTACTAATTCTCACAATAAACTAAACTAAAATACTAAAAAATGCTCAAATAACTCTTTATCATTATAGGCAGGAAAGAGAAACTGAGGAACAAAAACAGAGAGAACCAACAGAAAACAAACAAAACAGGCTGACCCGGGGGCGCAAGTGGTTAAGTGCGCACACTCCGCTGCAGCAGCCCGGGGTTCGCCGGTTCAGATCCTGGGCGTGCACCCACGCGCTGCTTGGCAAGCCATGCTGTGGCGGTGTCCCATATAAAGTGGAGGAAGATGGGCACGGATGTTAGCTCAGGGCCAGTCTTCCTCAGCAAAAAAAGAGGAGGATTGGCAGATGTTAGCACAGGGCTGATCTTCCTCACAAAAAAAACCACAGTAAATGTATACCTAAGCATATCAATAATTACATTATCGTCAAAATGAAACTTAAACAAAAACAAAAAACTACACCCCCACTGTGCCATCTATAAGAAACTTACTTCAAATATAATTACATGGGGAGATTAAAAGTAAAGGATGGAAAAACATATTCCACAAAAATACAATATAAAGAAACAGGATTTTGGCTATGTTAATATCAGACAAAGTAAAGTACCCTTCAGAAAAAAAAAATATTACCGGGGAAAGAGGGACATTACACAATGATAAAAGGGTAAATTCACCAGGAAGAGGTAACAACCCTAAATGTGTGTGCACCTAACAAAAGAGACTCAAAATACATGAAGCAAAAAGTGACAGTACTGAGAGGAGAAACAGACAAGTCCACAGCTACCCACAGTTGGAGGCCAAGAGCTCCTCTCTGGGTAAGAGATAAAGGAGGGGCCAGAATGAGCAAGGACGCAGAACTGAACACACGACTGTGTCAGTTTCCTCGGGATGCTGTAACACAGTACCACAAATGGGGAAGTTTAAAACAACCGAAACGTATTGTCTCATAGTTCTGGAGGCTGGAAGTCTGAAATCAAGGTGCTGGCAGGGCCACACTCTCTCCAGGGGAGGATGCTTCCTTGCCTCTTCCCAGATTCTAGGGGTTTGCCAGCCATCTTTGGCGTCTCTTGTCTTGTAGATGCATCACTCCAACCTTCTGTCTTCACCTGGCATTCTCCCTGGGTCTCTTCACATCGTCTTCCCACTGTGCATGTCTGTGTCCAAATCTCCCTCCCTTTTTTTTCTATATTTTAAAAAATTTTTATTTTGAGGCTTATATATATTTTTTATTGAGGTCATATTGGTTTATACCATCATGTAATTTCAGGTGTACATTATTATATATCAATTTCTGTATAGACTGCATCGTGCTCACCACCAATAGTCTAATTTTTGTCTGTCACCATACATATGTGCCCCTTTACCCCTTTCACCCACACCCCCACCCCTTTCCCCTCTGGTAACCACTAATCTGTTCTCTTTATCCATGTGTTTATCTTCCATATATCAGTGAAATCCTATGGTGTTTGTCTTTCTCTGTCTGGCTTATTTATTTTTATTGATATCATAATAGTTTATAACATTGTGAGATTCTAGTTGTACGTTATTATTTGTCAGTCACCATATAAATGCATC